AGTACAATCATACTATTTAAAAAAATGGCAGTATTTTATGTTTGATCTTACCCTTGTTCCAGAGGCTCTTTGGTCACACTTTTGGAACCATACTTGATTAGGTTCAGAATTTGTATCTCGCATGTGATTGGCCAATTGTAGAAATATGTCAAACCGGTTTGGGAAATATACATTACTGTAAGCTAATTATTACCTGTATTAGAATATTGTATTAAACTCAACCAAGCATGAATATTAATACTCCTGTGAAAAAGGTATCAAATTTCTCAGTTTGATCTTTTTTCTTTCTCAGTTTGATATCTTTTCAAATTTCTCAATTTCTCAGTGTGAAAAAGGTATCAAATTTCTCAGTTTGATGCTTGTTTAAGTTTAATACAATATTTTAATACAGACAATAATATAATTAGCTTACAGTAATGTTTATTTCCCAAACCGGTTTGACATATTTTTACAATTCGCCAATCACATGCGAGATTCAAATTCTGAACCTAATCAAGTATGGAAGTGGGATTTGCAATCGATGTGACCGGATGCTCTCCGTTCGCGCCTTTCGTTTCTTTCGCCTCGCAAAGAGCCTCTGGAACCAGGGTAGTTTGATCTCTGATTCTACTAACACAATTAGATTACTCGCTCTCGATTTCTATCAGGTGATAATTGTTTCGGGTTTCGCCCTCATCACCTAGCACCTCATAGAAATATCGGGCTCGTAATCTAATTGTTAAATGGACAGCAACCGGATATAAGCTATTCTGCAATCTGAATCGTATCCTGCTAATAGAGAAAACAAGTTGGCGGCGCAAGAATTACGGGGTTTTGCGAACGAGAAATTATTCGCCCTTTATAGCCTTAACGGCAATATAAACACAATAAAAAACTCGCAGCAACTGTTTACACGTTAGCAAATACTTTTTTATACTTAATCTGTCTAAAAAATCTTTTTGAAAAAAATAATGCCGAAAGAGCGAAGATAAAAATATGAACAGAAATCAGAGTATAATTTTTTTGACAGATCTGATTTAAAAGCAAAAACTCTTGATATAAGTAAAGTCAACACCCAGCGGGCAAAATGACGTTTATCCAACGTTGAATCAACGTTGGAAATGACCTTCCAGACGTTGGATGGACGTTGAAAAAGGGTTGACTATGCAAATTGGATCGACGTTACTGTTTCGACGTTGAAACAACGTTGAAATTAGGTTGCCAATCTCGTCAACCATAATTCAACGTTGAATCCACGTTAAAACAACGTTGAGATTGGTTCACAAATCGACGTCGTACATTTAACCATCAATGAACGTTAATTCAACGTCTGTTGGCTGCTGTTGAACCAATGTTTGTAAAACAACGTCAGAGCAACGTAGATATTAGGTCGTCGACGTCGCAACCTTTTTTCTACCAAATTTCAACGTTGAAACAACGTCGTGTGCCCGGTGGGCAGGCGTTTGTTTACCTAGGTTATATTATTAACTAATTTATATTATTATTTATTTAAAAAAATCCTAGTTTCTGATTGGCTAACAGCCAACTGTGAAATTGTCATATCAACTCAATGGCTAACCAAATATGAATTTTTCACATTCATATTAGCAAAATGACGTCAAAGAGTCAATATGAAAAAAATTTGGACGCGTTTGCGCCATATTACTATGACGACGAGAATCATATTGACTAGCTGACGCCATTGATATGACGACTACGACGGCTGCCGGAGGACTAAGGAATTGTTTTTTTCTTAATACAAATAAAATACAAATGGCTTCTTCCACTGAAAGGTTCGCCAACCTTGGCGAAGCCGAAATTCAAAAATTACTGGAAGATAAAGATTCGTTAAATACAAAAAGATCAACAAAAGCTTGTGAATTGAATTCGGTTTTCGCACAATATTAAGAATTATCAAGCCCTCACTTTGCCGTTATCAACTTCAGCCTTCGGCTTCGGTTGATAACGGCAAACTTCGGGCTTGATAATTCTTCATATCGTGTTCAACCTCATTCAATGATTGTTAATTATTAAATTATACAAATTTCAAGTTTTAGCAATGATCGAAGTATTGGTTTAAAAAAATGAGCAGCCGTGCTGTCTCAGGTTTTGGCCAAGTTGTGTGAATTGCCAATCTAATTGTCAAAATAATAATAAAACAGTTATTCTACTCACACTCGTCGTATCTGACTGATAGCCAACTCGGTGCTTCGCACCTCGTCAGCAATCAGCTCATATACGACTCGAGTTCGCAGAATAACTGTTAAATATACGGCGAGTAGCTCAACCAATCAAATTGCGGAATAGCTTATACACTGTTGCAATAAGCATTATGGGGAAATAGAAAATAAAAATGATTAGAGGATGTTGCAAAGTCCGAATGTTGCAAACCACCAATGGACGAAAAAGCCAATTGTATCTAATGGAAAATGTTTAATTTGACAGCATTTTGCAATAAATCTACATTCAAGTATTTTGTATAATGCTCATGTGAATATCAACCCTCGGGAATGAACATTTTTGCATCGTGTATACCATAAATTTTGTTTTGACGAAAACGTGTAATGATGATATTTATTTGGCCAAATTTGTCAATCCATATAAGTTCGGATCATTATTGGTTGTTACACCTTTTTACTGATGCATGCATATGCATGTGTTTGGATTTTTGAAGAACGTGAGCATAAATATGTTGTCGTATTCGTGTGGCAATCGTTAGTGCGTATGCCTCTCATTTCCACCGCTGGGCTTCCATTTTCGATGCAATAATTGTGTGCCAGTTGTATTAAAAGCATTGAAACTTAACTACATGCAGTTGGTGCAAAAGTTAACCAATCAGAATCGCGTATTTGAGAATTAGTTATTATTTCAACCACAAACACCTAGTTAATAAAGGGTATATAGCAACCTCGTTCCCAGGGTCTCTCCTTCTGTCATTGGGTATATAGTTCAGTTCGAGAAATATCTGTTTTAATAGAAATGTTAGATTATGTAATTTATTGTTGTAAAAGAAACTAAAAGGTTCACAAAATATAGTTTTCCCGCTTGAAAACAACAACTACACCGATAATGGCGTATCAAAATAACGTTCAACGAACGTATAGTCACGTGTCCGATGTACTGTATATATTAACTGTATTACGGTACTTTATGCTAATTTATACTAAATAATATCAATCATATAAATATAGTTTAAACTTTAAACACTAAAAGTACTTATCTCAACACCCCCACTCAGACTCAGCTCGTCCTTAACTATGATGAGTCTGACGTGTTGTTGATGTTCTTAATTCCCTAAGAGTACTGTTCTGTGTTTTTCCACTTTCACTCGAGGTAATGATTTCGTCAGAATGTCCGCAGTCATTTCTTCGGTTGGAACATAATGTATCTTTATTTCTTCATTTTCTACCCTTTCTCGAATGAAGTGTAGCTTTGTGTCGATATGTTTTGACCGTTTATGCATCACGGGATTGTGACACATCTTAATGCAGGATTGGTTGTCTTCTGCAATATCGGTCGCTTTCTCCATTGGGAAACCAAAATCCTTTAGTAGAGCTCGTAAGTAGATTGCTTCTTGTGCAGCCGCCGCCGCAAATTTTTTTTCCGTAGACAGTCGGACTCCTCATTGATAGTCGGACGCATCATTGATCCGCGTCCAGGCCTCCGCGCGTAATTGATGGATCCCTTCGTAACCCCGCGTAACCCACTGGTGCACCATATATCCATCACTTCACGTTCTTCGACCACGTGTAGAGAGGTGAACGATTTGCTTCGTGATGCCATAGCAAATCTAAAAACTTTGTTTTTCTGGTTTCGAAAATACTCAATAACTGTTATTGCGAGTTAAAACTATATATCATCCCAACTGAAGAGGATCAGGATAAGATAACTAGCGTGCAAGAAAATACTGGAAGATTCAAAGCGACCATCAAGACCACTTTTCACAAATAGAAGTATTGCAGAATACCCGTCCACTAGTAATATCATATCATGTAGCCCGGCCACTATTTCGATCATTGGATACGTATATACCAGATCTTATTGCCTCGTTCTAATATACACAAACTAATTACTAAGACAATATTATGAATTGATACTATAAAGGAAATGTCATGCAACACTTTTAATGTTTAATATTATGCTTAGTATGCTTTATAATGTAATTTTTTTCTCCAGCGACGCTAATTAGTCATAATCTGTCAAACACCAATGTCCGGTTGTGAGCAACATATTTACATATTACAAAACATTTAAGCTCTGTATAGCATGAGAATTTAATCTATTAATGCTAACTAACTGTCGCCTTAATTTAACTCTAATCTCAAAATAACTATCTGCGTATCCGCGTATCCGCATATCCACTAAACTATAGAGCTACTTATAGCATGAGAATTTGATCTAATGCTAATCTAACTGTATGCCTCGTTCTCTAAACAAATACTTGACTGTGTATCCTTAATAAACTAGAGCTACCTTTAACACTATGTCAATTTTTAATGCTAAATTACTGTATGCCCCGTAGCTACCTTTACAACCATGGGATTTTAATCTATCAATCTATTTATTATTAATATATCCATTGAGAATAAATATAGATGTATTGATACATCGTATCCATGTTTGCAAGGCATAGCTTAAAAAATGGACGGGTATTCTGCAATCGCTCCAAAGAGTTACAAAAAATAGTTACAAAAGCAAAGAAAACTGGGAAGCGCATCTAATAAGAAAAATATCCGCTGAATGTTTTGCTTAAGGGCGCGGGTCAATGATGCGTCCGACTATCAATGAGGAGTCCGACTGTCTACGGGAAAAAAATTTGCGCCGCCGCCATGGCTTGATATTCCGCCTCCGCTGTTGATAAGGCAACGGTTGCTTGCTTCTTTACCTCCCAACTGATGGCACCTCCATTTCCTTCGAATTTAAAGTAGTATCCAGTTGTCGATTTGCGATCCCCACTCCAATCTGCGTCCGAATCGCCAACTATATCACAGCTGGAATTCTTCAAGAATGTTAATCGTAAGTCGGTAGTTCCTTTGAGGTATCTCAGTACGTGCTTTGCTGCCTTCCAATGTGATTCGTCAGGTTTATCGAGAAATCGTGACAGCTGATTAACAATATTTAGAATATCTGGACGGGTTTGTTTGCCAATGAATAAAAGAGAGCCAACTAAACTTATATACAGCTTCGGATCTACTAATTTCTTTCCTTCGTTACTTTTGACTAGCTTTAGATTTACTTCTCCGGGTGTTGCTACAGCTTTGCAATCACTCATGTTAAATTCTTGGAGAACAGTTTCGATATACTTCGTTTGATCCACTGTAATCTTGTCGTGCGATCGCAGGATTTGCATTCCTAAGAACCAGTTTAGGTCGCCACGATCATCCATCTTGAAATTTTCATTTAACATTGACTTAATTTCGTTAATTGCTTCTTCGGTCGCTCCAGCCACTACTATATCATTTACCCAGACTAACACAGGAAAATGTTCCATTTTCTTCCTTTCTTACAAATAGGCAATAGTCATTGCAGCTTCGTTTGAATCCTTTCTTGAGAAGTAGACTTGTCAGAGCTTCATACCAGTTTTTCCCAGCTTGTTTTAGACCATAGATTGATTTGTTCAATTTGCACACAAGCTTTTGTCCTGATTTTGCTTTCTTGACAAACCCCTCTGGCTGCTCCAAATAAATTTCTTCTTCTATTTTGGAATGAAGGTAGGCTGATTTCACGTCCATCTGACCAAGATATA